CTCAATTACCATCCAAAATTCAGAATAAGATCTCATTAATGATTTCCTCAGATCCTTGCTATTTGCATTTAGCAAAGCAGTGAAATGAAAGTAATAATTTGGAATGGGTAGCACATACCCAAGTCGCCTGTGCCTTTATGCTGCTGCACCAAATCTACTCTGATGTGAAGGAGAGGAAAGAAAACAGAGTGGGAAGAGCAGATATCTCAATTGACTGATATACATGAATGATGCAATGATTTCCCAGTAAAAAAATAACAGAAATAATATCTAGCAATTCTTTGTAACGTGCTACTAAGAAAATAAAGTTCTTATATTTTGCCTTATAGCTCATTATATTCTAATCTGGTGTGTTCTGAATAATTGAATTCCCCAGTGGACTAATTTACACTGATAGATATGTTAGGTATTTTGAACTTGATTCCAGGATGTTGATTGTTTTCTGTCTTGGGATGTGATGGTTTAAGTATAGATAATATTTCTTCCAAATCATATGCTGTCCTAATTTTTGTGGGGAAGAAACATTAAGAGTCAACAACTGTGATACAACGTTGAGAGGATATAGATTTACTGAACTATGTTGGGCTTGAAGAGGGAGAGGTGAAAAGTAGCACTTCCTTGAAAGACAAATAGGATGTTAACTGTATGTGTTGTGTCAGAACCTGTTGTGTTGGACTTGTAGCATTCTTCTACTGAAAAAGCTTTTACAGTAACTTTACCTATGTTACTGACTGTGCTGTGAGTAGAAACACTGAATCTATCCATAAGCTGCTATCAGATAATCCATCTGCTTCATGCATGTAAAAATTTTCAAATGAGAAAAGCCACAAAGCTTTGAAATGGGAGGCAACATTACTCTTGCTTAAATGCCCTCTGTGGATTATCTGTTGCAGAATGCCTGCTAATGCAAGACTGTCAATCAGCACTTGAATGGGGACATTATTAGCTCAGAATAGCTACTCATTTTTGGTTGATTATTGTTCCAAATATTTTATCTTCCGATAAATTATTCATGAATTATTACGGTCATCCTTTCTTTAGTTCTAAAGAATTGATAATACCTGACAAGTGACCAATCTTTTGAGTTTTCTTCATTGATCACTGTACAGTGTTTTGTATTCCACCAGCTCATTTCACCTTTTCTTGAAGGAGATGCATGGCAGGTCATTTTAAATAATCATTACACAGTAAGTGCTTTACACTTGACAGCGTCAGCTTGAACACCTTACAGGATCGCTGTCATCTCACCGTGACATGTGAGGGAGAGGAGATAAACTTCTGAAGTCTTCTTTAAGTGATATATTTTCTTGGATTTCTACTATTAGTTACTTCAGCTTGTGCTATTACTTGAATCTGTAACAGTGTCACAGATACTTCAACTAAGGACTGACAGTTCAGCCTCCAGGGAGAAAAAACTTGGTGAGTGCTCTGTGGTTTGAGATGATCAGAGGATCACGATCTGAGAGATAAGTACAGGGCTAAGAGAATATGAGATGTGAAATTAGGAAAAGGCTGGGGATAGGAAAATGAATAGGCAAAGTTTGAGAAAGGATTAGAGAGGTGACTGGTGATTTTCACCGGGTGTCATTGAAGATTCTACAGATGGAACATAAACTTGTAAAAGCTCTGCTTGATCTGTTTTTTTCTTTATGTGAACCTGCTTTTACCTTGGTTTTTCTGGTTTGGGAGGAAAAAAGGCGTACCTAAATTTATACCAATGGTAACAAAATGTATTTTTAGGAAAATGAAGGAATGGCTTGATTCCCAAAGGAAAAAAGAACTGTGTTATAGAAAAGAAATGGCCCTATATTATTTTGGGGGGTTCATTATTTTATTAGTAAAATATTTTTTGATTGACCATAAGTAAGTTACTAGATAATGCTGTACAAATATCTTCACCTGGTTGAACAGGGTAGATACTTTTCAATGGAAAATCAATTCATAAATGTTTGTGAAATATCACAAAGGTGCACAGCGTTTTCTTGTAGGTCAAGAAACCAAATGAGATTTGGATCCAGTGGGATGGGATTTCAAACTTGCTTGTTAATTTGAAGACAGGTGCACTTCTTGAAGAAAAACAAGCAGTCTCTTGGAACAGTCCTGTTGTAAAGAAGGTGCTCTACACTTAGTTCTAGAAGTAGATGGTATGTTGTTTTGTGGCTAATGTTGCTTCCAGAAATACCAACCCTTATGCTACATTGCCAAAAGTGCTAATTAACTCTAAGGATGTTATTCTTCCTGGGATGTAGTGCTAACTCCTGTTACTCGTACCTAGGGAGGCTTGTTAAAAACTTTGCTTGACGTGACCACCTGCTGGTGGTTGATTCAGAACGCTGTCACTTACTGTCACTCAAGGCCAGCTTTGATGAGGGTAAACAAAACACACGACAGGAGCAGTAAGGTACTGTCAGACTAACAGTAGCACTGCAGTGTGTGTTAGCTTTTTGCATGGAAATCTTGATGTAATTTCTATTCAAATAATGGATTTGCTTCCCCTGGGATATCGTAGATCCAAAATGTCTTTCACGGACTTTTGCGCAGAAGCTGAAGCCATATTATATGCTTTAAAAGCGACCGGCACATTTGCAATTATTTCAAACAGAAAACATACTGAGAGCCTGCTGAAGTACAACTTTCTGTCCTTTGGGATTCAATTTGCTTAGAAACAAAACATTCCCCTGAAGATAAATAGCAAGAGGCATTGATTCTACTAACTGGAACAACGCTTCCAAATTAATTGAAAAAGATTTCCTAAAACTACTGCAACATTTCTACCAATTAAAAATATGTCCTGATTGGAAAGTTTGGTGCTGAAGGATTATAGTTAGAGCACACTGAAAACTTATTGAATTAACTTTTAATTAAGCTATTTCATATCAAACTATTTTAATTAAGCTTTTTTATATCAGGCTACTTTGTATCAAAGACAAATGCAACATTACTTCAAAGAGTTCATGCTGAACATGAAAATCATTAACATTTAAATAAAGATGTGCCATATGGTTTGGCAGAAACTGGAATACTCAGACATGGGGGCACCTTGCAGCTTCAGTATTTGGAGTCCACTAGTCTAGAAGGAAAAAAACCTTGAGTCTTCAAAGACATTGTCAAACAGATATATTTTGTTTTAATTCATTGGGTAATCCAGTTCTATATAATCACAAAGTATTTCAAATGTTAGATATAAAGGTGGAGGGCAAATTGGGGTTGATTACTGCTAACTACACTGGTAAATAGATCATGAAGGTATAAAATACAGCGATTTTAGACATAGTTTCTTGATCTTGGGAAAATCAAGGGTGGGTAGAAATGAAGAAGGGGAAAGCTGTGTTCTTTGAGAACAAACCATTGTCTGTGTGGAAGTTCTATGCACTGGCTTCTGTCCTTCTGAATTCCAGGACGTTCTTAGATACTAGTGCAGTGATCAAAGTCAAAATCATCTGTGATCAGAAGATACAAAGTGCTTGACTTTTGAAATGGGGCAGTACAGACTATACCTTAGAACACATTTAAATCCTCATGAAGTGCCCATTAACAGGATGTGCTAGGACACTTTCCAAACGAAGGAAAGCTCCATGTAAAGACAAAGTAATAATCCTATACCTTGAAAAACATCTAAACCTGACTCATGGACATTCAGCCTGTGTACCAGGTGCTAACTAGTGTTTCAAGCGCAGTACAATTGCCATCAGCAAAATTATTTCCTCTGCATTCTCAATTCAGATGTCACGATGCCTCATGCAAGTTAGTAAGCATGGATTTCTCTGGTTTGGTTACAAAACAGTCATTTTCTCCCAGGACATGCTAGGCTGGGGTGAGGGTGGTCGCCTGCAATGGCTGGAGTTGTAAGTTAGGAATTTCATTCTTTTATTCAGGAGCACACTTGAAAATGCAGTGTGGTCTTGGTTTGCTTAACTGTTTTATTTTGGAAGTGCCTTCCAATTTTTCTGTAGCACAAATGTTAAAACTAGAATTAATTATTCTGATGAAACCTACAGTGATTATTTTTTTATTTTATTTTTACTTCCCAATTATTATTTTAAGGGCAACTTCTTTTATGTGTACCTTTTTTCCCAAACCAGAGCTAAATTTTTTTTGGAGTGTATAATTTGCTGTTACAGTAAAAAAGTCGTTTCTTTAAATGAAAAATTAAACTGAGGAGATGCTGAACTGTGTGATCTGACTAATAGCATTTATGTTCTGGGCAGTTGTATTGACTAGCTGTGATTGAGGACAGGATGGCTGTTGAGGGGTCCCACAATAAAAGTGATAATAGTCCTCAAAAATCAAATAGCTGTTTAAGGTACAGAATTACATTGGGTTTTTTAATTATTATTATTGTTATTTTCAACTTGTGCACAGCTTTGCATTTGCAGGTCTTACCTGGAGTCTCCAAAGACAAAAGTGCCAACATACAGAGATTTAAAAACAATTACATTAAAAACAATTGTCTTGGTACTTCTGAACTGTCCGGAATTTGGAAGAACTGTAGATCTTATGAGACTCTCTGGTCTCAGGAAGTATGGGCAATTCAGATAAGCTTTGAATAAGCATCAAACATTTTGCTGCTTACTGCTTATCTTCCATTTCAAACTGAAATTTTTTAGGCTTATCTGTCACAACAAAAAGGGAAAGGAGGCAAGGTGCTATCATGGTCAAAAATGTGTGCAACCATCAATAATAAGAGATTTCTCAGTTCTTTTAGACATTTCCTGGTGCCTGCAGCCTAAGGCTAAAAACCAAAAGTAGACAGAACTTTGGTCTGTGTGATTTAACAAAAGCATTTAAAAATATCAGCTCTTATCTCCATAAGTTAGTCTGTGTGAGGAAAAGATAAGATTTCAATTAACTGGAGGTGAAATATTGGTGCAATGTGTTTTCTTCCTTGTTTTTGATTGTTTCTCATTTTCAGAATAGTTAAACATATTTAATAATAACAGTCATCTGAATATTAAGTAATTATTTTAACGTCATCCTAAATTGAAGTATTTTCCCAACAGCTCTGCTTTGACATTTTGCAGTAAGGAGATGTGGCCAAGTAGACACATTGTCAGGAGGAAGTGCTGTAATATTTGGTTCTCAGGTAGGTCACAGTGATGTTATTTTCATGATACCTCTTTCCTATATATGTTTTTATAAATTTCTGTTAAAACAAATTCTGAAGCATTTTCCTTGTTTTGTTTTTTTGGTGTACTTCTCAGGTGTAGAGAATGTGTCTAAAAAAACCCAAAAAGCAGTATCCCAGTCTTTCAGAGTTACTTTCCATCTTCAAAAGAGCAGTTTAAACTCTTCAGTGATATTTATGGTAAAATTCTGTTGTGGTTGGCATTTTGAATTTTGCTTGTTGGGATTTTGTTGGTTTGGTTTTGAATTCTTTTTTTCTTCCTTTTACAAAAAATTTTCTTAAATAACAGAACTATAAATTTTGTTTCCTAAATAATTGAAACTCTGGCTGTTTATTGATAGTGATGATTTTCTATGAGTCTACTCACTTGATGAGATGACTTGCTTCACAATGGTGTTGCTCATTGTAATTAGGATGGACTCAAACTGATCAATAACCTGTGACGTGTTTTTTAGTGTTCACTATTCCCAGTCATCTTAGGCCATGCTTCCATGAGGGTTGTTTTTCCATATGTGCTGTAGAATCACAATTAGGAATGGATAGCTAGGATATTATGCTACATGGAAGGTTTTTTTCAAAGAGGTTCATACTTGAAGATCATCTGAAATTATATTAAAATAGTGACAAGTTTCACTACATAAAGAATCTACAGTATTTGTTACTTTATTTCTTGTTACATAGCTGTAGTAGTTTCAGTTTCCATTTAATTTTAATTTTATTCCTTCTGGGTTTTTTTTTTCTTTTATGTGGAAATATTTATGTGGAAATATTTTATTTGATGTGTCACTGTTGTTCTTAGCCTAATTCTTTCTTCCCTACTGGGTTTCATATTTTACATCCTACCTTAAACTCTTACGAAATCCAGTCAACAGTCAGACAATGCAGTCATGAAGACAGTTAAATCCCTCTCTATAAAAACTTCTAACCTTGTTTTGGAAAAAAGTTTTGGAGTATAAGGTCCTATATGTAATCTTTCATAACTTCTACAGGTTTATTTTCTAATTTTCTAAATCTCTGAAATTATAAGGGTTAAAGTTGACTTTGTTACTATAAAGTTTTGAAATAACCATCCAAGGATGTTTCAATAAGGAGCAAACCTTAAATCTTTTGATACTCATCTGTATGTAGCAAGTGTTACACCGAATATGATTAAGTTCAGTTTTGCTTAGAGAAATAAGCATATTATTAAAAAATACACTGTGTTGCTTGCACTGCTGTGGGAGAGTAATTTCAATCCCCAATATAAAGGCAAACTGCAGTAATATAAGAGAAGTTATCAGAGAAGTTATGGCCATGAGTCAGTTGATGAATTGCATTAACCAATCGCTCCCCCTTGTCCTATAAAAAAAGGAGAAAACCAAAATGTTTGGAAGTTAAGTTTAAATAACAAAAAGTAAGGCCTTCTGGAAGTTGAATTTCTTTACCCTTTTATTCTCCACGTAGTTATTTACACATTATTATTAGGTTAGTCTTTCACCCGTCTGCAGTAAAATAAATCGAACAAAATGCTTCACTCTTGCAGGTTTTCCAAACCTTCCATGACATTTGCAGTTGAACCCTTCCAGTTTCTGCAGCATTTTCATCACTGTGGACATTGGCCACTATTCCAGTAGCAATTTTATCATGGCAAATTAAGGACACAGTGCAGCTGTTTTAGGTGTGCAGTGAAAGCTTAGGCTGAACACCTTCTCCTGCAGTGTCATTGCGAGTTTAGGCTCGAGATTCCCAGGGCTCTTTTTGATATCACTTCTTCCCAGTACAGTTTCTTATCCCTGCAGAACACGAACTGGTTTTTTCTATATATTCTTTTATTATGTATAAAGCTTTATATTTAGCCAAAAACAAAGATTAATGTTTTTTGCTTGTGCCTAGTTTACCATCTGATCAAGATGGCTTTTCATCATTATTATTCCACTACATTAATCTTTGTCTCAATCTTTATTTATCTGCAAATATGACAATTACTTATATAATTTCTTTCCAGTGAAAAAGTCCCTGGTCAGAGTATAAGTTTGGCTATAATCAACAACTAAACTTCAAGGAGCATCTAATTAAAAGTAATATCAGTCTTCAGGATCCTTGGGGCACTTCTGATGTCCTAAAGCAAATATTTAGTTGGAGGTGTTTTTTGTCTCAATTGGTTTGTTGCAAATACTCAGATACCATGCCAAGAACTTTGTGTTTACAGTGGGACGATGTTAGTGATAAGGGGTGTCATTGAGAAGTTCTTCCAGTGTAATGTAAAAGACAACTATCAAAATGACTGTGCAGCTACTCTCTATTCAAAGTTTATTTCCTAACTGAATCCCCCTTAAATTTAAATGCTTATATCTGGCATGAGATTTTTTCTGTTCATGGTCCTTTCAGATGAAATTTGTAGTCACTGGCTTAGCTAAGTTACTTATTCCTCTCCAGAAAGTAAACAAAAGCTGTCCAGACTTGGTTGAACACTTTAACTTTAGGGAAACCACCCCCTCAAAAATAAAATAAAAGGCACATGCAGACTTACTACACATTAACTGATAAAACACAAGTTATAAGATATTTTGCAAATTCAAATTTATTATAATTCATTAAATTATAATAAATATTAAACAGAAGTTGTTTGAACTACATTTTTTATTATTTAATTCCTCTTCAACTTATTTCATCCTATTTCCAATGTTTTATAAAAATATGATTCTAAACACTGCATATTTATAGCTTTTTAGTTAAAATATGAATAGGTTTGAAGGAAAAAAACCTCTTCTGCATAGCAAAGAGCATTAGAAGTGGCAGGAGGAATGTGAATTATTAGGCAGGTCTCTGTATTCCAAGATCTAAAGGATGATTATAACTGACCCATATTATTTTCATTTAGAAGTTTTCACCTTCTTAACTCTATTATTTCTTGTTTGGTTTGAGGATTACTGCTGGTTAAATGTAAAGTCTTCACTGACACACTACCAGTGCTGAACTATATACCACAACTGTGGTGCCAGCAGTTATTCTACCTGATTTTTTAAGTTTATCGTAAATGCCACCTTTAATGAATCTGCTTAACTTCACTAGCAGTGTAAAGGTCTTTTTCGGTAGATTAAATAAATTTTATGCAAATAAATCTCTCTCACTTCCTCATTGTAGTGACCTCAGATGTCTATTTTGCCCTCTGAGGATAGCAATCTATTTAACCCAGCTATAAGTTCTGTTGGAATCTGCTTTGCTAAGAGTTTAATTGCTGTAAGGAGCACTTTAAAAAACTCGAAGGGCCCTGGTATCTTCAAGAGCTCCTCTATATGCTCATTCCTTTGCTTATTTAACTTCAGCAGAACATAACTGGGAGTATGCTGACATATTTAGAGACAGGTACGGAGCAATAAGATCTATTACCACAATTTCCAGGCCAGGATCAATACCTGTAGTAAGGAGACATCGTGTAGGTATCTTTCATTTACTTTCTGCTGTGTCATATTCCGGGCATGGACACAGAGCCAAGCTTTGTGCACAGTAAAAATGAGAGGTAGGCTGTCATGGGGAAAACTGCTCAACTGAAATAAGGTTTGGAGCAGCTTAGTGATTTATTAATTGCATGTTATTAACTGTCAGTGAGCCTGTCATTCTTGATAGTTAGAGTAGCATGCACAAAATGTCAACCAAACACCTACACTTTCGAATCAGAGGTCATGGTGTTGGTGAATTTCTGCCAGTGCCAAACCAGGTTTAGGGGTCTGCACTGTTACCCCATTCCCACTGTAAGATCCCTCACAAATGTTCATGATTCTAACTCCATTTTTTTTAGTCAAGCCAAGTTCAGTTTTATTTACTGTGTGAAAAGTTTAAGGAAATAATAACAACTGGCCATGTCCAAGCATGACAATTCCAGAAAATGACAATAGGCCAGGCTGCTGGGCTGTAACTAATCATGACTCCCAGGGTGTTTCTTTGTAAGAAGGCAGAGGAGTATGGGAATAAGCAGACTGAAGAGTTGGAAAGCATTGGAAACATTGTATGGAATTAAATAAGAATGGAAGTATTTGCTAAATCAGAGTGTCATTGCTGAATGGCCAGGACCAGCACTCTGGGAAGCAGTCTTCCTGCATTCTTACCTGATATACTAATAAGCATGACTGACAATTCCTGGAATTGTTCTTTATAATACTAATTTATGATTATTTATATAGCCTTTGGGTCTCTGCAATCCAAAAAGCTATAGAAATTGCATCAATAGCTTAAATAGTGAGAGTGAACCCACAGTGTTGCAATAATTGGCTGCCTTCTGCTACATACGCCCCACCATCTATGTGCTCTGAAAATTGAAGGTATTAACTAAAATGGGAAGTTATAAAATAATTTTTTTTCTTTCACTTAAAGAAAGAAATCTGGAAACTTGCATGAGATCATTTAATTTCCAAAGAATTTGGAAATTTTATACCTCAGCTGCAGAATGACTGCTAGGAAGACTCCAAGGGACATGCTTTGGGTTCAGCAGCCTTTCTGCATATAATCACTTACAAGATTGGAAGCTTAATTAAATGAGAGATGTAAGAGTTTAAGTGAAACACCAGCAGAACAGAGAAAGACAGCTATAATGGAAATACATTTAATTATCAGTAAAAGGTTTAAGAACATTCTAAATATTTCAACTGTATATTCCTTTGAATAAAGACGTGGCTACTCATAAATGGCAAACATTTGTCAGAGAATGTATTGCTGCAGCAGGTAATTACTGTTAGGTTTTAGCTTGTTGTATACCCAGAATGGTTTTGATTAGCAAGCCTCTAAAACATTCCCAATAGAGAGGACTGTCAATACCACTGATGTGTGTCTTGTACTTTTCTTAGTCTTCGCAATTCTCTCAGCAGTAATATGAAGAGACTGGAAAATGTAAGCATGCACACTGAAACATGCTCTGCTTGTCACTTTTTTCTCTATAACAAGCATTCGAAAAAG